TGTCTAGAAAGCATGAGGTTGTAAATGAAAAACTGCATCATTGCTAAATAGGGAAAGAAACAAGACAGAGGAGGCAATCGCAGGGGTGGGCTTTGTGGGGATACAGTGACAGCGAGAAGCACTGGCTCATAGCTGCCCTCGTCTCTGAGTGATGCTGCCCTTCTATTCCTGGCCTCTAGGCTCAGGTATGCACACTAATACAATGTGTGTGCACCCACGCTCCAGGTGTCCATAATCAGGCCCATGCTCTCACATGCCTTCTGCATTTACACAATCATGACCGCAGGTGATAGCCAGAGGCTAGTGGCATAAAAATCCCAATGAGGGGCGGAGCAACATGGCAGCGAGGAGACGCTGCGAGTGAGATCTCCCATTAAAAAAAGTTAATAGGGAGGAAAAGCGGCAGGTCCCAGTGAGAACTGGGACACGGAAGATAAACGGGTGACTCCAGCAAACTACCCGAAGAAAAAGTGGCCATAAAAGAGGACTAGAAGGGAGGAAAGCACAGACCCCTGCTCCCCTCCCCCGCCCACAGAGGCGGCACTCTCCGACCCGCAGAGAGGAGGAAAAAACAAACTAAAACGACCAACAAGAACAAACTACGCAGCAAGCGGGACTGTGAGTGGAAAGGAACTATTGCAGCCACCACACCCCGTGAACGGGAGCTGTGGAGAACCCTGCAGGATTCGCCGCGGAGGTGAGCGAACGGCTCCAGGCGCCATTAGAGAACAAAGAGACTCTGGAGGAGACCCGCACCCGGGCCAGCCGGTATGCTTGCGCGGAAAAGCGGCCCGCTTGGCGCACTTGAAAAGCAAACTCGGATCGGCATCGTGGCTGCCCAGGTGCCCGTGCCTGCGACCTAGGCTTGCGGGGAGACGCGCGGAGGCCCTCACTGAGGTGAAAGTCCCTCACTGAGTAAGCAGGAACCAGGCGCCCAGGCACGGGAGCGGGTGCAAAAGGCGCCATTCCCGCGCCACTGAACTGGGCTACAGCCCGCGTCCTGGACCTGAGGGCTTTGGAACTGAGACCCTGGGCACGAAATTCGGGGCGTGGGTTCTCCACGACGGTGGGGCACAAGGCAGACACAGCACCCCAAAGCCATTGAGGTGTACCCTACCATTCTCGCTCTGTTCCCTGTCCCACGGAGGGGGGGGCATCGAAAAGCAGCCCCCCAAGGACAATAGGAGAGATCTCTGGTGTCACCTAGCGACCAGAAAAAAAAGTCACTAACACCCCATAGAACAGGGAAATTTCTTAAGAAAATACTTCTTGAAAAGGGCAGAAGGCTTCTGGAGGACCCAGTGGCCAGCTGGGAAGTTAGCCCACACCAGACCCCTTCCAACCAGCAGTCTGAGCCCACAGAGGGAGAAGGCACCCACGTCCGGGGCAGACCAGGCACGCAGAAGAGTGTGCCTGAGACCGGATGCACAGGGACTACGTCCCGCTTCGCCATTTTAGATCAGGGACATTTCTCCAGTAAAGACTGCCTGAGAAAGCTCCCCCAGAAGCCAGAGATGGCTCCTGGAGGAGCCAGAGGGGAGTGGAGAAGTTCACCTAAGATGCCGGCCAGTCCGAGCAACACAGTGTCCCAATGCATACGACAAATTAGAAAACAGACAGTAGGGAGTAGAAGAACCACACGCAACCTAACAACTCCTCAGGAAAGAAGCACACCACAAAAAGAAAACCACCCCCCAGATTGCAACGACAGTAACTTGGAAGAACTTCTGAGCCTTCCAGAAAGAGAATTTAAAATTGCCATGATTAAAAAAGTGACAGAAGTCATAAAGGAAAACAATGGTCAGAAGAAGGAAATTGAGTCCCTAAAGAAGGAAGTAAAAAAAATGCAGGAGATCAAAGAATTAATGGAGGAACTAAAGAACTCTGGGAAAAGCAATGAAAGCAGAATAGATGAAATGGAAGAACGAATAAGTACTCTTGAAGACACAGAAATAAAAAGAACCAAAACAGAAAAGGAAAGAGAAGTACGAAGGAAAAAGAACGAAGAAAGACTTCGGGAACTATCTGACTCCATGAGGAAAGGAAATATAAGAGTTATAGGAATTCCAGAAGGAGAGGAGAGAGATGTAGGAACAGAGAAAATATTCCAGGAGATAATTGAAGAGAACTTCCCAAATGCGAAGGAGCTGAAAATTGATACACAAGAAGCAAGAAGAACACCAAATTTCCACGACGAAAGGAAAAATACAGCAAGACACATAATAGTAAAGCTACCAAGAATCCAGGACAAGGAAAAAATAATGAAGCTGACAAGAGGGAAGAAACAGATAACATTCAAAGGAAAACCAATCAGGCTGACATCAGACTTCTCTGAAGAAACACTACGGGCAAGGAGAGAGTGGAGGGACATAGTCAACAGACTCCAAGAAAACAGATGCCAACCAAGAATACTCTATCCCACAAAGCTCTCCTTCCTCTATGAAGAAAGAATAAGGACCTTCCCAGACAAACAGAAACTCCGGAATTTCATTACGACTAAACCCCCACTCCAAAAAATACTACAAGGAATCCTAAAGCCAGAACCTCAGAGGGACGAATAACAACGAAAGAAGACCAAAAAAAAAAAAAAAAGTTATTAAAAGAATAAATAAAATCAAAGGAAAGACAAACATAATGGCAAATACAGATGCTAACATATCAATATTAACTCTAAATGTAAATGGACTAAACTCTTCAATAAAAAGACACAGAGTTGCAGCCTGGATTAAGAAACAAAACCCAACCTTTTGCTGTCTCCAGGAAACACATTTAGCTACAAAAGATAAAAATAGGCTCAAAGTTAAAGGATGGAAAACAATCCTACAAGCGAATGGACCAAAAAAGAAAGCAGGAACAGCTATACTTATATCAGATAAAACAGACTTCAAACTCAAAAAAATAAAAAGAGACCCCAATGGTCACTACATTATGATCAAGGGGACAATACTTCAAGAAGAAATAACACTCATTAACATATACTCACCAAACGAAGGAGCACCAAAATATATCAGACAACTATTGTCCTCTCTGAAAACAGACATCAGAGAAAACACATATGTAGTGGGAGACTTCAACACACCACTATCAACAATGGATAGATCAACAATACAAAAAATAAGAAACTAAAGCTCTAAATAAGGACCTAGAGGCCTCCCCGGTGGCGCAGCGGTTGAGCGCTGGGTTGCGAAACTGCCCACGGCCTCTGCGGCGCCGGTTCGATCCCTGGCTGCTTCCCGGCCACCGGAGGAGGGTCCCACATGGCACGCAGACCTCTCCTGCCGTCCGCTGCTCCCCTCAGCAGTGTGCTTCGGTCCTTCTGCCTGCTCTGCTCCCAGCTCTGGCTCTGGTGAATTCTCTCACCCTCCCGCGCTTCTGACTGTACCCAGTGCATGTATAAACAAAACAAACAAATAAATAAATTAAAAATAAATAAATAAATAAATAAGGACCTAGAGCATTTGGGCTTAACAGATGCGCTGGAAGGGATCATGCTCAGCGAAATAAGCCAAAAAGAAAAAGAAAAATACCGGATGGTCTCACTCATAGCAGGAATCTAGAAAACTTAAATAAGGGACCAGGAAAATGAATAACTATAAGAAAGTGAAAATCAAAATCAACAAAAACTATGAACCAGAGACACTTTTGGGGGGGTGGGGGGCGGGAGGGGAGGGATTGGGGTCAGAATGGGTGGTTTGCAATTGTATGGGGGAATATAAAAATAAAATTTATTATTTAAAAAAAATAAATTAAAAAAAAACCTTAAAAAAAAAAAAAACCCAATGAATTCATTTACTCTATACTCTGTCTTGCAGGGACTATGGAAATCTCTGTATGGTTCCAATTTTAGCACCTGCTGCTGAGCAAACACTTCACAGTCTGCTCTTTAGGACTTTGGAACTCAGCATGAGATCCCAGGGCAATGGATGGTCCCAAATGTCCCCATAGCAGCTGAAGGTGTTTCGGCTCATGGAGCATTTTCTTTGCAAGGTGTTGGAGAATGTTTACAAGTGGAGAGAAATGTGGGTGATAAAGGCACGTAGGGATGGATGAGTGAAGCTATGAAACAGGGTAGACACCCATGGGGAAGCTGGGAAGAGGGTGTGAGGGGACATTATGCCATTAATATCTGACCCCAAACCATCATTTATACTCTATCCTATTTTCTACTTCCATCACATGTGACTCAAGTAGCTATGATGCCAGGGAAAGTGCGCATTTAACAGTCAGTCAGGAAGAGCTAGTGAGGCACTTGGGCCTCAGCAGTCAGTTCCCAACTGTACACACAACCCTCTGAGCTTCCAGAAGCTACAGAAAAGGCAAAATGATGTGCTTTTCATATTAAAGTCAACTTTAATCTGACCAACCCGGGTCCTTTTCCATCATGGCCATTGGTGTTTAAATCTGCGTGGGCCCACTGCTGTTGTGTGTCCAGCACACCCCAGGTGAGGAAGGTCAGGGCAGCCAGGGCCCATTGTTGCAATCTCTGCGCACTTGGGGTACTGCGTACCACTATGTAGCCTCCCAGGCACCAGGAGACCCAGGAACAAGATGGGGTTTATTCAGATCCACCATTGGTTACGAGATTGACTTACTTTTTGGCCACAGGCTCCAGAATGCCCTTATTCTGAGTTTATGTCAAAATACAAAGTCCAACATTTAGTTTGAAAACAGAAAGGCTTGGTTTAATACCATTTTGAAAGTTCTCTCTGGTGTGTCATCTATAGGATGAAAAGTACATGAGAACCCATGGGGTTTCTGGCAATGAACATATAATTGTGTAGTCTGAATATCTGTTATCCAAAGCTTATTGTGCCTTTGAGCACTCAATTTTACTGAGGGTAAAAGTCATGCTTCTGACCATCTTTGGTTGTCCAAAAGGAAGAATCTGACTCTGGTGGCACCGCCCGAGGGACAGCGCCTGCCCAGGGCTGAGCTGAGTGACACGCTCAGCAGCAGGGGAGCAGCAGGGGAGCAGGAGGAGAAGCACAGCCCACAGCATCTTTCCTCTCCAAGAGTGGGTCTGTCAGCCCAGGCCAGGAAAAGCTGGGGGAACACAAAGGACAGCCTTTACTTGAACAACCATGGGGGCAAAATTTGGCCTTAGAAGCATGAAATCAGAAGAAAACCGATCTAATCTTCTCAGGGTTCTTGTAGGTTCTCTGATTCTTCCCTGAAGCTGGAGGCGTGAGCGACTGTCCTGGTACACCCAGGGAGAGGAGAGTCACCCTGCACTCTGCCCCTCAAGGACAGCAAGGGCAGAGGACAGCAACTGAGGCCTGGCTCACCCCTGAGCTTCACACAATTCAATCATAAGATGATTAAACACAAGCCAGGCCTCTAGTCATCTCACTGATGACCTCCAGCAAAGAGCAGGAGGGACAGAGAGAGAGCCCAGGGTTTGGGCCCCAGGCTGACCCTGTCCCTGGCTTAGGTCCTAAGCCTTTTGACACAGCTCTGTCCTTGCCAAGTCTGGCCCTCACCCTTCTTACTTCAGGTTCTCTTCTGGCTCCATGGCTGTGGGGAAACACCAGCTAGAAGGTGACTGTGCATGGGCTTGGTTGTGGCCTCCCCGGTGGAGGGGAGGGGTCCTGTGGCCATGCCACCCGCTTGCTCAGGGACAGGCAGAGGCCCCTGGTTAAAGCTGGTGCAGCTTGCCCCGCTCGGTTAGCAGTGTCATGGCCACAGCATAGAAGAGATAGCCCAGTATGAGAAGCAGGGCACAGGGCAGGGGCCCAATGCAGAAAAGAGAGGCCACAAAGAAGGTTAGCAGCAATGACAGCAGCGTCCGGTAGCTGCCCAGGAAGCGCAGGCTGAGCCTGGGACTGCGGACATGACTGGCTGCATGCCTCCGCCCCACAGGGCTCAGCAGGTGCTTGTCTGCCAGTCCGGGCTCTGTAAGGTGGTAGCGACAAAAGCTGCCAAGGAAGTCATCCCGGGAACACAGGGCTGTCATCTGACCTGCAAACTAGAGCACAAAGGCATGGTGGGAGGGGGCAGCAGGCTCGGGGCCAATCTCCACCTGGCCTCTCCACAGATTGGCAGGACTACAAGGGGGAGCTGAAGTGAGGTGCCACTCCGTGGCCTACACTCACCCTTTGGTTGATGGCAGACGACAGGCGGAAGAGCACACGAACCAGACTGGGGATCTCATAGCTCCGGATGGGCTGCAGCTCCGAGTCCCCCTGGTAGTCGATATCAAACCTTCGAAGCCCATTAATGATCTGTAAGTGGGAGGAAAGGCAAGACTCAGGTAAAACCCAGGAAGCCAGCCAGAAAATACACGTTTGCCCACAAACTCAGAGAAGCTGTCTCTGTTTATGGGGGGAAGAGGGAAAATGTGGGCCAGCAAGACCCTGGCAAGGCCATGCTGCCCAGAAGACCAGGCCCCTCCATTATCTTACCTGGTACCGTCCCAGGGGTGTGAGGATGAGTCCATCCTCACCCACAATACAATCTGGGAGCTGTTTCTTTCCATTTTCATCCTGAGTTGTCCCCGAGGCAAGTGTGAGCTGGGCAAGCTGGGCCTCGCTGAGCTATCAGAGATGACCAGCTTTCAGTTTCAAGAAGGAAGAATGGCCTTCACAAACCACTGCCCCTCCCACCAGGCCTCTTACAGTGACAAGGGAACCCAGACATAACGCTGCAGGTACAGGCCTGCATCTCCTGGTCCCTGGCCAAGGGCGTAAGGGTTGTTGGACCAAGACTAGGGCAGGGGACAGTTCTATAGCCCATACACGGAACATCTGGCACAGGTACTCCAAGGCCTTCTCCAGGTACTCGTCTGTCTTGCGAACGCTGTCTTGCCCCATGTCATCCAGATCATTGGCTGGGTAGGAGCCATTTGTGTCCACAGAGCAGAGGCCTAGCCATGACAGGAAGGGGCGGCTGACTGTGGTCTCCCCACACTGGTCAGAGATGGATTTGGCAGTCTGCTTGGCCTGCGTGATGAGCTGAGCCAGGCGCAAGACCTGAGGGGCAGATAGGGCACAGTCAGTCAACACAGGGGGCCTGTCTCATGGTATCTGGCCATCAATAGAGCAGCAGGTAGCCTGCAAACTCCCAGGAGGGTCAGGACAGGTGCCTTCTATATGATGAGAACCTTTAGAAACTAAAGAATGAATATTCTAAATATGAAAACTTTGCAGCAAACACTGTCTTTACTATCAGAAAAAAATTAAGTATCACTGAAAAAATAAAAAAGGTAGTAGGTGTAGTAGCAGTATTTCAACCCAACACCCCCACCCTGGAGTTTGCTGCCCCAGAACTTCAGGATGGCCCAGGGCTCCAGTGGAGTCCCTACTCACTCACCAGTGTCCGGACCTCAGGCCCAAACATCGGGGTGTACTTGCAGTCCTGGCCCTCCAGGCTGTACACGTGGCTCTTCACCTTGAAGGAGGTGTCGGTGACAGCTGGAGGCCAGGATGACAGGAAGCTGCCAGTGAATGTGGGAGCTGTGAAGAGTCGGTGCTGGCGGTGGGGGATGACAAGTTCAGGCTCTAGAAACAGCTGCTCACCTGGAAGGCAGAATGTGAGTATGGATTCAGTTTCCAAGGGCACAGAATACTCAGCTGAGGCTGGCAGGCTTTTTGGGTACTTCCAGAGGTTTCTAAGGGGTTGGGGCTATGCAGCACAGTAGTCAAGCTCCTGGAGCCCTAGCCAGTACAAATAGAAAACTGAAACTCAAAGATAAGCCAGTACCCAACAAAGCTGGCTAAGACAAATGTAACAGGGACCAAGATGCCCCTCCTCCTTCATGGCACATCTGCAATCCCTCAACCCAGCCTGCAAGCCATGGGGAAGACAGGATGCAGCCAGAATCTGCCCTCTGCTCTGCTAACACATACCAAGAACCCCACACCACCCTCCTAGGTCCATGGGGGCCTCTAAGAGCACTGCTTCCGACTGGCTAAGAGCTCACCTTTCTGGATCATTTCAGCCAGGTTGGGCTGGGCAAAGACTTTGGCCACTCGGAACACCATGAGTGCGTTCTTGGGACTGACCAGGTCAGTACGGAGTGCACGGCCCACGAAGCCCACAAAAAGCTTGGTGTACATCAGTAGGTTTTCCTGCACAAAGGGTGCCCTGGGAGTGGGGCAGTATGTCAGGGCCAGACCTACCACTGAGGGCAGGGTCACAGCCCAGGACACTTCATTAGGTCCCAGAATCTCCCCAGCATCCATCTCATGAAGGTGTGAGCAATGGCGGCTGAGGGGTCTGGATGTCGGCAGGGGAGGTAGGAAAGAGGCAGAAGGGACCTCAAACGCCCGAGAAAAATGGACTCCTCCGCCGAGTGAGGCTCAGCCTGAGAAGACCAAGGCTGCCGTGGTGGAGGCTGGCCCTGGTATCGTAGGGGTTCATAGGGGAAGGCACTCAAGGAGGAGGTGCCGATGGAAGGCTGGGGGGCTCTATCACAGCTGGTGAGGAAGGGTTCAGGGGAGCTGGGGGGCTGAATGCGAGCACACAGTCAAAGGGAATGGGGCCAGGGCAGGACAGAGGGAAAGACAGCCACTGATGGTTTGTTTCTGCAGGAGATCGGTGCCAGAGCCCAGGAGCAACACAGCATGGTTCAGAAAGGGCAGCCTGTGCTCCTGGCCAGCAGGACCTTGGAAAGGAGCCTCAGGAGGCCCCACTCAGGCCCCTTGGGTGGGGACAGGGTGGCGAGGCTCACCATCTCTCCGACACAGCCCGGGCCTGACTGTCGCTGCTCTGAGTCTGCTTCTCAGGTGCATACCTCCAGGGCTGCAGGTAGCTCAGCCACATCTCCAGCACCTGGTGAGATGTGTGCCCTGAGGGTGTGGTGACTGGCACGCAGGTGAGCAATGGTGCTTTGGACCAAATCCTTGGGCAGCCTAGGGTCAGGCTCCCTGGTGTGCTGCCAGATTCTGACCTCTTCCCGCGGCCCCACCCGCCCCATGAGGGCACAAAAGTTTCTGGTCATACCCTGATGCCATTTCGCCCTCACCTCAGCCCTGGAAGCAAGAATTACTGAGCTCACTTCTCCCAGCTGAGGGAGCTGAGAGTATTTCAATGTGAGTAGGAACCCATGAGCACTGGCAGCAAGGTTTAAGGTCAAGTCTGAATGAGTTTTTCTGTATCCCAGGGTTAGCCTTGGATATTCAAACAGGCTTCAGAACCTCTGAGAGAACAGCCAGTTCTCTGACCCAAAGGCCCTCCCTCATCAGGGCACAGAGATGAGAGCAAGATGAGATGGGACCACACTCACGGCTCTGAATGACGCGTCGAGGGGCCAGTGGCCGAAGCAGTGCTGCAGGAAGAGATAGAGCTTCTGCTGAACGAACCTGGGGACGGCAGCACTGCAGGGGGAGGAGGAGGAGGGTCACCTTGCAGGCAAGCCTAGAAGCTCCCATCTGCAAAGACTGGCTCTGCCAGGGTGAGCACCAAGCAACCTCTAGGGTTAAGGCCTACTTCTAGCTCCATCCTTCAGAGGAAACTCGAGAAAACAGAATCCTTCCACCAGATAAGGCCCTTCAGAAAAGACAAGGAATGTCCCAAGGACGCAGAGTGCTTCTGAGGCTGATCCAGTGTGGCTCCTATGTGCACCTCATCTCAGCTTGCCCCACTCAAGCTGCCTGTTCTGTCATCGCCAGCTCTCCTCCTGACAGAGGAGGGAGCTGGGGAGAGGAAGAAAGGAGGAGGAAGGAGCCAGCACAGAGCAACCTGACAACTGAGCCACTTCGTTGTGAAGGCACTCCCAGACCAGGCTGGCTCGCTCCACTGCAGAAGGCAAGCTGGAGAGGCAGCCAGAAAAGCAGTCAGGCAGCCCCAGCCACCTCTAGAGCCGAGACTGGGGGCCAGAGTAGGGGTAGGAGTGAACAGACTCACTGTCCCCTCCTGCACTGCCTCACTGACCTAACCCAGCCCGCCCCCTCCCTGGGGGAAAGTCAATGGAGCAGTATTTGTGCATCTACCAGGAAGGCGCCAGAGGCTGGGAGCCCTACACATGCACCTGTACCCACCGTTTGAATTCCTCCAGGGGGCTGGTGGCGTGGGAGTGGGCAGAGGGAGAAACTTGCTCTGGCTTCAGGCTATTGGCAAAGGCGTGCAGGTGCTTGAGCAGCAGGCGTACAACCAGTACGTGTTCTTCTGTGGGTGTGAATGACTCCTAAGGTGGAGAGGGCGGCAGCATCAGGGCCAAGTGGTCAGGTCCCAGGACTGGCCAGGACCCACCCGTCCCCCTCTCCTCACAGGATGTGCAGATCAGCAAGTGGGTCCCTCTGGACCTTTCCGGTGCTTGGCCCCTGGCAGGGAACCTTGCCCTGCTCAGGCTGAGACCTGCTAAGCAGCAGTGAAGCCTGTAATGCACCCCAGACAGCTCCCCGAAACAGACAAATCTGCCAGGTGCTTCCCTGCATACAACAAATCCCACTTTATTCCTTCTGTGGGTGACTCAGGTCACTGGGTCACCGCCGCCAACCCTGGTCCTAGAAGCAGGCCTGCACCCCACCCTAAAACTGGACTCAGGGTTTCTGCCTACCTCCTGAGTGTGGGCAGACAGCGTGCCAGGGCCCTCAGCAACTGCAACATCCACCCTCACACCTGCCCCCTCACCGGGACTCAGCCCAGGGTGGCCCCTCTTCCACTGCTAATGGACCTGAGGTCAGCACAAGCCCCAACACAAGAGCACCGTCCATCTTGGTGGCCCAACTTTTGGTTCACAAAGGTCATGTAGGATCTTTGGGACCCAGACCCAAGAGAAAAATCTGCTTGCCGGCTGATCGGCGATGGAGTATTGGGGTGGGGGTGTTGCTGAGGGAACAGTGGAAGGGTGGAGGACAGCACTGGAAGGCAGGATCTGCTCCCCACCTCCTCACACCAGCTTCAGGCTCTCGAGTGTCCAGGCTGATAAGCTCCTTCCTTACACTCACCCCCGGCCCTCTGGGACCCCAACAAACTTATAAAGAAGCTTTGGCAGCCTCATCCAAATCTTCAGCAATGTTGAGGCCACTCAGGCCATGCTTCCTGGCATCCCTGGGACGCAGCAGACCTGTCACAGAGGATGCTGGGCAGCTGCTACCAGAGGCACCATCCACGCAGGCCTGCCTGCCACGGAAATGCCTCCAAAGGCTGAGGTGACATACCCTGGTGGCTGTGTCTAGGGATGGAACTACAGGGCACAAGGTAATCTTCCAATGCTTTTCTGTATTTTTAAGTCCCAGTGCAATGAATCATCATTTTGAAGAAAAAAGCACAAGATACTTTCATTATAATAATAAAACACCAGGGCCACCTGGGTCTCTCCCTTTCTCATGTCTGGTCCCTTGCCCTGATCCCAGTAACGTCCCTTTGGCTCAGGGTGGTGTCTACCTGGGAACTGGCAAGCCTGGCCCTCCTGCGGAGTTGCTGGACCAGGCTCCCCCCTGCACATCCCCAGCAATCACACTGGTACCCGCTTAGGCTACTTTCCCTCCAGGTTTGTCAAATCAAACTCTTCCAATTTTCCACCCTCCTGAGCCAAATCCCCCTGTGACTTGTGGTTACACCTGCACATGGCCTCCTCCACCTTTTAAGGACACTTTCCAAGATCCCGAGGCACCTCTCCCTGGGCCCAGCTTCCCCGAACTGGCCTCCCAGAGATGTCAGACCCCTGCTCCCCTAGAGGTTTCTCTGGGGACCCTGCTCTTACCCAAGTGAGACCTGTGCCCCACCTGCGCACACTGGCCCTTAAGGACTATTCCCTTCCCTCCTCACTGAGCTGCTGCTCCTGAGCAGAACCCTGTTTTGTGCTGTGCTCCTCACCCGAGCTCAGCAAAACATGGTTTCTGGTCTTGTGTTCAAATCCAAATTCAATGCCGTGTGCTCCCACTGAGCAGGAACTGTACACACCCCCGACCGCAAGCACAGCTCCAGATGCATGTTTCCCCCCAGATTTCCTGGCACTCATCTCATGAATCAGCAAACTCTGGAGACTCCACTGGCTGTGAAGCACCCGACAGGTCGGAACTATACCTCACTGACTTCAAACCCATCCACACACTGCTCATTTCTGCCACAGTGGACCAGTCGCCACGAAGCCAAAATATGCCAGGTCCCCAGTTTGCCTAGGGACGGACCATCATCATCTCTGTACTGAGAGGCCAAGGCCCACATTCTTCCTGCCCCCAGACATCATACACTGGATTGGGCAGGGGAGACACAAAGTCATACTACCCACAAGCCCCAGGGCCTCTGTATCCTCAGTCAGTCACCAAGGAGTACCAGCCCTGCACTCCTGGGAGAGTTGGGCCACCTAGATGTCCACATTATTTCACACCTCTGAACCACGGCCATGCACGGAGTCTTCCAACATACAAGAATGTGTGACATCTAAGCTGGCCTGGGACTTGATTAGGTAGATTCAGCGACCCCACAGTGAGCTATGGTGTTGTGCCTTGCTCCCTGGCACATGACCACACACCCCAAGGCCAGGCTAGACTGCAAAGCTGGAGATTGGGCTGTTCTGAAGCCTGACCCAACACACACACACACACACACACACACACACACACACACACACACACACACACACACACGCCTTACTCTGCTTAGAACTAATTTCTGAATCGCCCCAGCAAGCCCCCAGTCAGACCTTTGCTTTACCACTGCACTGACATGAGCTCTGTGGCTTACACCGCAGAGCAGGGGTGAAACAGAACAAAATGATAACGGCCAGTACTTGGTAGGCGTGGAGGGCCTGGAGGCTGGGTTGGGCAGGGCTGTGGAGGGCGCTGGAGACACTGAGTCGGTAGTGCAGAACCTCCAGCTGAGAGACAACAAAACAGAAACCGAGAGAAGAGGCAGGGAAGGTAGAGAATGAGGATGGGTAGGAAGGGGAGGAAAGGGGTGGGGATAAGGGAGGGAGAGGAGAGAATGGGGAGAGAGAAAAAGGTGAGAATGAGCCCAGAAGTAAGGAGAGAAAACAAAACAAAAACAAAAGCACATCAGTGACAATCCAAACCATCACAGCCCAGCAGCCTTGAGCCAGCGAGACACCACCCTCTCAGCTGTCCAGATGGAGTCCCTCCTGGTGGGCACACTCTTCCACCTGCCAGACAGAGGGACGAACAGACCCTCCAAATCGCCTGGATGTCTGGTCCCCTCCATGTCACTGGAGCCAGATGGCCTCTCCAGCTTCCTGAGGCTGGACCAACTCACTTTCCCTCCAGGAGGATTTTGCTCAGCCCCGACCCTAAGACATGGCACTATGTGCAGGCTGCCAGGAGCCCAGCGTGCCTTGCTGGGACACGCTCCGCTGCCAGCCACCAAGGCCCTGAAGGCCGAGGCTCAGCAAATAAACTTTGGGGGACCCAGTTGCAGACGGAGGCCTCTCTGCCCAGAAAAGAAAAATATTAAAATTCACTGAACTTCTCTGGGTTATTCCAAGGAGAAATTTACCCAACAGAACATGATGTGACCAAGGTCCACACATCAAAGATCCAATCACTGTCCCCTCTTATACAAGGACCGGTTTCCAAAAAGCAGCACGGAAGTGAGTACAGGTTCAGTCTAACAGGTCCCACCTGGTACCCTCTATACTCCACATTCCAGAAATAGTAAAACACAAACACTCATTGATTCTAATTCTGGTAAGATCAGCCTTTCCTACCTCATGAAGACACGCTTCCAGATATATCAGTCCTGTGGCAAGAGTCCAGGAGACTCTGGCCATGGTGATACACATTCAGAGGCAGCTGGAACCCTGAGACTGGACTGCCTGGGACACTGGGATGACGGTTGAGTGGATATGCTGTCTGGTCCCCCACCCCAGGACCCTCCTCCCTACCCCCTAGCAGTGTTGCAGTGTGCTGTGAAGCAAACCCCTGCAGCCAAGTGCAGCCCACAGCAGGCTCAGGGCCTGCCCTGCAAGGACCATGCCTCCTGCCTGAACAGCATGTTTCATACAGGAGAGTCAGAAAGCCCATGCAAGACTGAGGAGACAGGCACAGCCAGAGACACACAGAGCAGGGGTGGGGAGGAGCATGGCAGGATGCGGGTCCTTTGCGCCTTCTCCAGGCCAGACTCTAGGCTCACCTGCAGTTTTCAGTAAGGTACTGGCAAGCACAGTTCCCTGTTGGGTCCTGCCCTAGCCTGTGGGGATACAGAGAAGGCACACAGGGACCTGCAGGGCTGTGGCTGCCCTGACTACTGCCCTTTCAGAATCCCTGCTCAGCAAGATAGGGGTGAGTAGCAATCTCTAGGGAGACCAGGCATGCTGCAGCCAGCCGGCCAGCCACAGAAGGACTGTGGAACCTCCAGGACTTGCTACATCCCTAAAATCAGGAAAACAATGACCCCAGGGCTACACCACAACTGGCAAGGATTTTTGTCTGATGCAGCGCAACAGTAAGGGGCTGGGAATAAAGCGGACATTCCAGGCTGTCTCTCCCTCACTGGTTTTGCTTTCTGCCTGAATATGAATCAAAAAGCAGATCCTTTCTGGTTGGGGACCTCATGGACCTCCCCACTGCCAGTCATTCTGAACAGCTCTCACCCACCCTGAGGTCTGGCCAGGAGGAACCAATGTGGGCAAGGAGAAGCCCCTATCCTGGAAAGGACAGCTCACTGCCCTTTCCCCATGTGCAGTCAGAATCCTCACAGAGACAGAGAGCACAGAGGGCTTTTTAATGATCTACTGCTAAAAATTAAAGTGGGAGCTCAGAAGACAGAATGTACAGAAAACAGGGTAATGCAGTGATGCCGTCCTTGCCTCTCCAAGACCGAGCTTACAAGCATAAGGCTAGGTGAGCCTCTCAGGATCTCAGGGTCACCCTGGAAGCAGGAAGGGCAGTGCACATGCTTTGTGACTCCAGGGGCCCAGGGTGGAGTACTGCCCCTCTCCCCACCCATATGGTACTAAGGATGGAGATGTGGGCTGCCCTGCACTTTAAAAGAGCAATAGTGGGAGCTGTGTCCCAAGTCTCCACATGCCAGAGGACTGTTGTCATAGAACTGGCTGCTGAGATGCTGTAGCAAGAGCAGAAGCACCGCTTCTCCCCAGAATCACAGGGAAAAAGCTGCAGGCTACTATCTATTTTTTTTTTTAAGATTTATTTATACACTATTTTTTTTTTAAAAAGATTTATTTATACAATAACCGGGGTACTGGCCAAATTCACGGGAGGGTGAGAGGATTCACCAGAGACAGAGTGGGAAACAGAACAGACAGACTGACGAAATACACTGCTGAGGGGAGCAGCTGGTGAGACAGAGGAGGTCTGCTCACCATGTGGGTTGCTCCAAGGCTGGCGGAGATCGAAGCGGCACCGCAGAGGCTGTGGACAGCTTCACAGCAATGCGCTCACCTGCCTGCGCCACAAGGGAGGCCCGTATTCCCACTTTTTTTTTTAAATATAGATTTCAGTTCTTTTTTTAAAAAAAATTGTTGCACAGAAGAAATGGGGTGTAGGCCAGAGGTGGGGGGGGGGGGAAGAGGATTCACCAGAGACAGAATGGGGAGCAGAACAGGCAGATGTACACAACTAAGGGGCGCAACATGCGAAGCCTGAGAGGTCTGTTGCTACATGTGGGATAGCTCCTAGGCCAGGAAACCAACTCAGGCCAGCACAGTAATTGTGCTGAGACTTAACCCCTAGGTCACCAGGAAGGCCCTGCTGTCCTCAATTTGAACACATGGATCCCTATTAATTCTTTGGTAAGCCTCAAATTTTGTCTAGCAGTGACAAAAACAAAGTCTAACCAGGAAACTGATGCACAGAAGTCATAGACTAAAGAACTGAGGCTTGATGCTGCCTTCAACGGGGCCCAGGTGATTCAAACTCTTACACAAATATAAATCTAAGTGCCTACTGGCCTCTTACTACCTGGACCAAACTGTTCTACTACCCCGATGAATGCAGGGGATCGTTGGCCCTGGGGAGAGTGAACCCAGGAGGGCTGCAAGGACACAGCTGCCTCTTTACCTCTGCAAAGGAGCCCTGTCCACCCAGGGAAGGCGGTACAGGCAAGGAGAAGGAAGAGACAGGCCACATGCAGGAGGTCATCAGACTCCACCCACTGCAACTCGCTGCCCACAGATGATCTGGAGATTCTAGAGGGCAGCAATAACCGATGGGTGGGTGGGGGCTGCTGGACACCTCCTCAAGAGGAAAGCAGGAGGTGCTGTGATGGTAGAGGGGAGAAGATGTGAGTCCCAGAGACATGGGCAGCTTCCCCACCCCCAGAGCATGAGTGCTACAACTTCATCTGTTCCCGCTGCTAGGGAGCAAGCTCTGGCAGAAGCATGGGGAGGTCCCCAGAGAAGAGAGGCCTCCAGTCCTCAGGGGTGCAAGTCCACCACAGAACAAAACCCGCCTGCTGTTCAGCATCTGAGAGTGAAGGGAGGGGGTTTTCAGCCTCCCTCCATGAGGTCCTTGAAAACTCACTGAACTCAAGGACAAGAAGCAGCAGGTTGACCATGCACACCAGGGTCACTGCAGGAGATGGGAAAAAAAGCTGCAGCAACATACCTTGGCGTGCGGGGACTGCATTTTCTGGTACATCTCCAAGGAATAATGATGAAGCCACATTTCAACAAAAACCTGCAAAAGAGCAGCAGTAGATGGTTAAATGATTTTTGACAAAGATGCCAAAACATTCAGTGGGGAAAGGGCCGTCCTTTCAATACAGGCTCTTTTGTACAGCCACGTGCAAATGAGGAAGTGGGTCTCTTACCTCACATCACATATAAAACATAACTCAAGATGAATCAAAGACCCAGATGTAAGAGTCTAAAGTATAAAACTCTTAGAAGACAGCATGGGGTTGAGGGGGTTTATGGCACTGAATTTAAAAATGATTGATTAGATCTGACTCCAAAAGCACAGGCAACAAAAGAGAAGAGCTAAATTGAACTTCATGAAAATCAAAAAAACCTCACTTTCAAAACACTCTATCAACAGAGTGGAAATGCACGGAATGGGGGAGGATATTTACAAATCACACTTCTGGCTAGGTATTAATATCCAGAACATATTGAGAACTCCTAATATTCAACAACAAAAGCATAAACAACCCAGTTTTTTTTTTTAATGATTTATTTATTTATTCACACAAGAACCGGGGTACAGGCCAGATGTGCGAGGGTGAGAGGATTTACCAGACAGAGCGGGAAACAGAACAGGCAGACTGACTGAAATATACTACTGAGGGGAGCAGCGGGCGAGGTAGGAATGGTCTGCTGCGCCATGTGGGTAGCTCCCTGGCGGCTGGGCTTGAACCCGCGCTGCGGAGGCTGCAGACAGCTTCACAGTGCTGCGCTCAACCGCTTGCACCGCCAGGGAGGCCCACAGTCCAGTTTTAAAAAGGGCAATGGACCGAAACAGACATTTCTCCAACGAAGATACACAAATGACCAACAAGGACATGAAAAGACGTTCAACATCACTATTGGGACAATGCAAATCCAGCCCATGATGAGAGACAGCAGGCCCCCTTATTTGTGGGACCGTGGTGCTTAGAACCTCAGCTCCTGTCCTTTAGATAACGAAGTTTCCTCACACCTCTATATGCGTGATAAAGTAAGATACAAACAATAGTAATTCATCATGAAAAACCGTGACAAAAGTTATGTGATTGTGATCTCTCTCCAAATATTTCTGGACGGCTGGTTCACCCAGGGAAACCAAAACTGTGGCGAACAAGACTGTGGACAAGGGGGACCTATTATACAATCTCATGTTAGATCGGCTACAATCAATAGAAAATAAGGAGTGCTGGCGAGGATGTGGAGAAGCTGCACTCCTTATGCGTCACCAGTGGGAAAGTAGAGGGGTCAGGCTCTGGGAAACAGTATGGCAGTTCCTCAAAAAACAAATAAATAGGGCCTCCCTGGTGGCGCAGCGGTTGAACGCTGGGCTGCAAAGCTGCCCGCAGCCTCTGCAGTGCTGGTTCGCACCGGCCACCGGCGAGGGTCTCACATGGTGCACAGACCTCTCCTGCCGCGCCCGCTGCTCTCCTCAGCACTGTACCTCGGTCTTTCTGCCTGTTGTTCCCTGCTCTGGCTCTGGTGAATTCTCTCAACCTCCCACGCTTCTGACTGTACCCACTGCTTGTATAAATAAATAAATAAATAAATAAATAAATAAATAAATAAATAAATAAATAAATCGTTAACAAAACAAATAAATAAATAAACAGAACTACCGGACATTCCAGCATTTCTAACTCTGAGTATATGCAAAAGAATTAAAAGTCCATAGCAGCATGATTCACATAGGTAAAACATGGAAGCAACCCATGTCTATTGATGAGGAATGGATAAACAAAGTGTACTACATGTCCATACAAAAAATGTTATTCAACCTTAAAGAGAAAATTCTCATACTTGCTACAGCATTGATGAAGCTTGAAGACAACACACTAAGTGAAATTAGTAAATCTAAAAGTAATGCTTGTTTCCATTTCTATAGATACGCAGAGTAATGAAATTCACAAAAACAGAATTAGAATGTTGGTTGCCAGAGACTGGGAAGAGGGGAAAATGAGGAAACTGCTGTTTAAGTGGGGACAGAGTCTCAGTTTTACAAGATAAAAACAGTTCTGGAGATCCATTACACAACAAAGCTTAACACTACCGAACTGCATACTTGAAATACAACTAAGATGGTAAACTTGGTTACATATATTTTCCCATAATTTAAAAAAATTGTTTAGATAAGAAAAAACAAAACAGCATTAGCGTTTTGATCCTGGACACAACTCTCCAGTTCTGTTCCACTGAGTCTGCGTCTGCTGCAAGGGTATGGCGGAAGCCTCTAAAGCTGCAGCGGCCCCCATGTGTGGGTTATGTATGGGGAGAAGGGACACAGTTCTATCTCATCCAATTCCAGGCTATCAGCAAGTGATACTTGTGGCTACCAACACAGCTCCAGACTCCAGTGTTGGAACCAAACTCTCTAAGGCATGCTTGGAAGAGACGACACAGTCAAGTCTGGGAGGCAGCCAGTGCTATGCTCTGGGAAAGAGCCAACCTACACCTGTGGGAGAGTTTGGAGCCCATACAAGGGTAGAAAAGGGGCCCAACTACCCTCCATCAGGGTGCCCTGGCATGAAAGGATGATGGGCTGCTGACAATCTTAAGTAAAGGCATCACAGGCCCTCCCACTCAGCATCATAAACATGCTACCGGGTCTGGGTTTAATATCCACGTGATGGGTATCGCAGGAAACATCTCCCCAGAAAAACAGGAGTGTGTCAGAGAGACAGAGTAGACGGGGGGAACCTCTAGTGAGATGTATGGGAAACTACAAGACTTGGCAATGATTATATCACCAGGACAAAAAACAAAGCAAAACTCTATGGACAAGGAATCCTGGGATGAAAAACACTGCCAGTGACATAGGTTAGACATGTGAGACAAGAAAGAGACAGGAAAGAGACAATCCCTTTGCTGAATATCGTAGCAGGAAAAGACCAACACAGCACCACCCCCAGGACATGGGCAGTCTTTTCTCCAGTGATAGAAGGGGGCTAAGCATTTCTTTCTGACATGGAAGCAGAGAAGAGCTGCCCCAGCTCTCACCTGGAGCAGGGTTTCTGATCTCCAGATTTCATGGGAGGCGGGGTCTGCATTCACAGACGTCTGGTGAGAGATGTGTCGCTTCAGGAGGCTGGTATGGTGGAGGCCGTAGGAAGTGAAGGGCATGGCTGGCGTCCTACGGGAGATAGATAAACAAGCCTTCAGCTCCCACTGCCTTAGCCAAGGGCAATCTGGTCATCAAAACCAATGGTAACACTTACACCTGTTGAAGCACGCAGTGACTCCCACATCCATAATGATACACAGACAGATAAGCAGGGAAGAAAACTCTCCTCTAACACTAGTGCTTACAGTCTCAGTATATCTTCTCACTAAATTCCCCTTTCTGATTAATTTAGGCACTCATTAACACAACTTCACAATTAAAGTGAACACTCCCTTGGCCCAGTGATCAAGCTAACGGTGCAATGCTGGGGCACGTGGACACCACTGGCTACCACTATCGTGCTCCTGCCCATAAAGCCCACCTGGGCCTAATCATGAGGTTAACACCACAGAACCCAAGTCCACAGGATGCTGCACACACCCAGGCTGCATGCTTCAAAGGCGTCAGGCTGGAAAAGCCTGAGGATGGAAGAGGGCTAGAAAGACATCTGCATGAAGCAAGAGACCCTGCACCGAAACCCATCAGGGAAAGGTCAAACCCAAGGGAGTTTTGAGAATTAGATGGTGGTCTGACAACAATACTACCTTCCTGATTTGGATAGAAATGCAGTGATCATGTAGGAGGATGCACTGGCTTTTAGGAAAAAAGACTCTGAAGAGTTGAATGGTAACAGGGTATCATGTATGTACATTACCCATACAGTCCAGAACACACTCTATACAGAGAGGGTAAAACAACGCAAATACCTTGCTGATGGGTTTATTAAGTTCTTTGTTATACCTGGCAACGTTTTGGTAAATCTGAACTTCATGTTAAAACAAGCCAACAAAACTGGGCCGAGAAACCATCTGGTTTCCCAGGCAGAGCTGGCCAAGAGATACCAGGCTACAGGTCCCACCAAGGCCTCAGAGCTGGCTGCGTGCTCCCTCCTGAACAGCCCAATCTGCCTGGACTGCCACAACAGTCTCTTCACCCCAGGATCACCAGCTCAGGCCAAGACCTGGTCCTCTGGTCCACACAAATTCCTACTAATCTTTTTCATCCACTGGTCAAACCTTCTTCATCCTGCCCATAAATCCTTTCTCTCCAGAACCATCAATCACCAACGTTGTCACTTCTTATGACAAAGCTTCAAGTCCCCTGGGACCCTGCTCACCTCCTCGATATGGGTCTTGGATGCCATGTGTGGTGAGGACTGCTACCGGCAGAACACAGCCTATTCCCATACCCACAGTGAGGCCTCCTCAATGTAGCCACAGGGCCCAACCACTTCAGTGATGGCTACTGAAATCCTCCCGTCCCCACCATCCAGTCTGTGCCAGAGCAACTAGGCTGGGGACTCTTAGGCATAAAAAATTTGGGGGGATTTCTGTGACTATAAAGCTGGGGAGATTCTGACTGGCCCAAGAACAGCAGATCTCAGGTCCCCAGCCCTTGGATCTTCCCCTAAAGCCCCTCAAAACTGCTTGATTTTTCTCCTCTTCCAAAAACCCTGAGGAGCCCTGGGCAAAATGTAGAACCACGGCCCCTAAAAGCAATGCACTGACTAGACCACTCCCTCACGCAAGGACGAGTTCTTAACGGTAGCAGCAGGCAAGGACCACTTAAGTACTGGCCAAAGTCAGCAGCAGGGGAACCTTACCTGGGAGCTGGTGAGGGGCTGGGTCCGCCGGGACTGGAGGAGAGTGGGGGGAGCACATTGCCTTCTGTGGGCAGGAACCATGACAGGTACCTGTCCACTAGGATGAAATAGGCACAGTCTGAAGTACGAACATGGAGGGCCCCTGGTAGTGGCTGGAAATCAAAACTAGTGTTAGCATGGGGCTCTAGGCTTGGCTCCTGCTGCCAAACCCAGCAATCACAGGGCCTGATTCATAACACACCATGGGTGATGCTAGGAAAAAATCAACTGTACAGGACCTGATTAGACCTCTTAACCTCAACCAGAATTCAACCCCCCTGAGGATCCCAATCCTGTTTCCATGCCCAGCGAACACCTCCTGCAGGAAGTCTCCCTGATCACCACTTGGGTGGTAAGACAACCTCATATCAGCTGTCAAAGTCTGCCCGCTAGTCTGTGGTCCTCATAAGTGAAACTGTCTATGAGGCAGAAGCTAGAGGAAGAAGGAAAGGACACACAGAAACCAGGTGGGTAGGGAAAAGGAGAAACAAAAGAAGGTAAAGGCCAAAGTTGGCTCCTAGGAGAGTCCAAAGATCCCCCCCAAAAACACCCACCCCCCCACCCCCGACGGGGAAAATTACGGACCAGGCCATGGCCACCACCCACCCCTGGGGACTGTCATAAGGCTATCTGTGCTCAGAGGCAACCCCTCCGTACCTTTTGCGTGATGAGGCTCAAAGCAAAGAAGAACATGTAATACTCGAATGGATCTGATGGCAAATGTCAGAGGCCAAACAGGCAGGGTTGGCGGATCACCCCTCAGCACTGCGCTGGCCACCCAGTTTCCACACCCACAGCTCCCCTACCCACTGGACAAAGGATACTGAGGGCCAGGTGCAGGCCGAGTCCCCCAGCGGGGGGGAACTGAACCTTGTTGTGGTATAGGGGGCTGTCGGGGAGCACACGCTCCTGGATGGACGCCTTCACTGGGCCCTGTAGAGAGGGAGGGGGGCTTGTGGGTGGGTTCGTGCAGAGCCTTCGGGAGATGTGGCCCTTTGTGAAGGCTGCTGAGGAGCAGTGGCACACGGAGCCTGCCATGGGAACAGCACTTTCCTCTGCATAGCAATCGAGCAGGAGAGACTTCACACTCTCATACCATCCTTACAAAGACCCACAATGGCAAGGGCAGTGGTTGTGCACCTGAGCCTCGCAGGGCACCTAACTCCATCTCCTTCATTTCTCATACACACTGAGTAAGGAACCCTTTCATTTGCCCCTGAAGGACTAGAGACAGAAAAACAAAGCAACCCCACACAAGCCAGGCAGTATGGTGCCTTCACTGCTGAAAGAGTAAGAAAAGATCTTTAGAAAAACTGTTGGGGCCTCCCTGGTGGCACAAGGGTTGAGAAGCATCCTATGAAGCAATCTGCAGCCACTGTGGCACGAGTTCGACTCCTGGCCAGCCAGGGAGCAACCCACATGGTGCAGCAGACCACTCCTGGCTCGCCTGCTGCTCCCCTCATCAGTGTGCTTTGGTCAATCTGCCTGTTCTGTTCCCCGCTCTGTCTCTGGTGAATCCTCTCACCTCTGACACCTCTGGCCTGTACCCCAGTTCTGGTATGCACAAATAAATAAATCTTAAAAAAGTATATAAATAAACAAATAAAAAACTAACTGTTGGCATTCTAATTTCTGTTGCCCCTCAACAGACACCATGGCTTTCTCCTGTCCACTCTCAGGGAGTCCCTGCCCATCCACCACCGCAGATATGCAGGGCTCTCTGCCCCAGGCATGGCTCTGACCACCGCGGTTCACTTACTGGTAGGTAGGAGACAGGAAAGTCAAACTTATAGTCTTCAGCTTGGAGTTTATAAACCAGCTTCATCATTGGGCCACTGAACATGAAATTAAACCAAAAAAAAAAAAAAAAACAGGACAAATGAACTGCAAACCACCAGTTTTTGATTGTTTAACTTTGAGAAATAAAGTGATTAAAAAATAGGATCATTATGAGCAAATATCCCGTCCCTCTTACATGACAAACCTACCTACCCAGGGTCTAGAAATTCCATCGCAATGCTGTACTCTACAGGGCTCACGCGCCCCTGCAGGCAGCGGAGGTTCCAGCCGACGAGGACACCATCCAAGCTGCCGAAGATGCTCTCTACCAGCCATGGGAAGATGGCATGCAGCTCCTGAAACAGTGAGCTGGTGAGGCTTCAGAGAAACCAGCTAAAGACCAGTGCCCTCCCAGCTCGTCCTGCACCACACGCTGCCCTCCTCCCTCACTGGCCCTGCCCTCTGAGGAGGTCACTACAGAGTTCAGACCAGACTGGCACCCACAGGGATCTTGGTGCAGTAGCACTGAGAGAGGGGCAGCTTTGGAGTTTTCCACTGTAGTTATGTGGTAGACCAAGCAGTACTGCTTTACATCTGAGCCAAACTAGTCAGTCTGTGATTAAGAGGTTTTTTTTTTTTTTTTTTTTTCATAAACTTCTGATCTGATATGAAAAGAATTCTATTAAAAAGGGTGGCAATGTCCTGCCTCGCTCAGAGTGAGCCGCTAAAACTATGACTTGCTGCTATTTGGTATGAACTCCCTACTCAGGTCAGCTTCCTGGGCTTGCTTATTACAGTTCTTCTTTCATAATGCCAGGTGAGAGAGACATAAATACCTATCTCCAGTATTTACACAACTGATATTTGGGGCGATACATTTCTTTGTTGTGTGGGCTGCCCTGTGCATCAGGGGCTGGTTACAAGCATGGCTGGCCTCCACCCATGTGATGAAAGTAGTGCCACTCCCATGTGACAACTAAAAAGGTCTCCAGACATTACCGAGGGTCCTATGTGGGCAGGAGCACTGTGGTTGCGATGCCCTGGTCTACATGTTCACATGTTTAGATATATCCATAAACGTATGTCACAATACTGGTTCAGGCTTCTGTACAGGTCAGCGTGCAGAGGTGGGAACCAAGGGCTACGATGATGTTTTTCAAAGAGCAGATAAGACATGCTCTCAAGAGACTCTAGCGGGGCTGTCTATACCTTTGCTGGAAAATCCTCGATGACTTTAACCAAGTCTTGACATCGCTGTGCAAAGGGTTTATTTATGGAGTCAGCTTTCAGGCTAGCCTAGAAGACAGAACAAACCCCCAAAGACATAAGCATTTTCACTTAGTGGCTGTTGCTGATATTCTGGCTGAAGTAAAAATGGGAATCAAAGTAGACGAGTCAGATACACACCACTGACCTGGTTCCCAGGACCTCATCTGTTAGGTCATGCATGTGTCAGTGACCTAAAAGATGCTACCAGGAGAGGCTGAGATGCTTTGTTTTTCAGAAAAGTAACCCTCAGACTTGCTTCCCAGTAACATACGAATTAGAAATTTCCTATATGCTAGACCACCTAAGATTACACTACAGTGATCATTAGTGAGCATGCCCAACAAAATGAGAGTGGCAGTGGTTGTAATTAATTTTTTTAAAGATTTGTTTATTTATTTATACAAGCACTGGGTACAGTCAGAAGCGCGGGAGGGTAAGAGAATTCACCAGAGACAGAGCGGGGAACAGAACAGGCAGACGGACAAAATACACTGCTGAGCGGAGCAGCGGGCGTGGCAGGAGAGGTCTGCGCACCACGTGGGACCCACGCCGGTGGCCGGGGATCAAACCGGCGCTGCAGACGCTGCGGGCAGCTTCGCAGCCCAGCGCTCAAGCAGTGGTTGTAATTTAAACCCTCTTAACCAAGGCATCCCTTCTTCAGTAGATAATGACCCAACTGAACTAATTACCTTAAGAAATGAAACAGGGCCACCCCGGTGGCCTAGGGGTTAAGTCTCAGCTCTATAACGGTGGCAGCCTAAGTTTGATCAGGCCAGGGAGCCAACCTACATGGTGCAGCAGACCTCTCCTGTCTCGCCTGCTGCTCTCCTTAGCAATGTAGTTCAGTAAATCCACTGTTCTGCTCTGCACTCTGTCCCTGGAGAATCCTCTCACCCCCTGCACCCCTGGCCTACACCCCAGTTCTTATACGCAAGAAAGGAAATAAGATAGGCTAAAAACTACAGATGATTTCAGTGAAGTGTCGACACTAATCAGAAAGGCAACAGAAAGGGCAGGAAACATTCAGGACAAGAACTAAGGAAATCTACCTGAGGTCAGAGTATGAGAAAAGCTTGTGTATAACCTGACTACAGGAAGAAAAGGTGCCCCTATGCAAATGAAGGAAGATCAGGAAGAAATGCCAAAATTTTACCTAAGGAGCTTGCCTAAGGATATCTAAGGCCTCATCCACCTCCAAATGAGGGTGGAGTCCCAGTGCCTGAGCCAAGGGCGGAGACCTAGGCTATTTTGGTCATGGTTGATCTGATAGTCTCAAGGGGTACACCAAGGAAGAACGCCCTTTCAAATAAATATTTATGAAAAGTATCTTTTTGAAGGTGAAATTATTGATATTTCTTTCACATATAAGTTCTCAGCATCATGTTTAATCCTTAGAGTGCAGTCCTGGTAGGCCCCCAATGAGCAGTATCCCTCATTTCCACTGATGACAAATTATGATTACTGTAACACATCCCATTTGTGTAAGGCTTCACAAGATAGGAAAATTCAGATGTATGTTGTTTTCACTTGCTCCTCCCTACAACCTGGGAAAAGTAATGAAAATGGCATTTGAATCAACTTGTCTTGACTATAAGAAAACCAGGGTTGGGCCTCCCCGGGTGGCACAGCAGTTGAGCGCTGGGCTGCGAAGCTGCCTGCAGCCTCTGCAGCACTGGTTCGATCCCCAGCCGCCGGCGAGGGTCCCACATGGCACGCAGACCTCTCCTGCCGCCTGCTGCTCCCCTCAGCAGTGCACTTCGTCAGTGTGCCTGTTCTGTTCCCCACTCTGGCTCTGGTGTGAATCCTCTCATCCTCCCACGCTTCTGACTGTACCCAGTGCTTGTATGTATGTATGTATGTATGTATAAATAAATAAATAAATCTTTTTTAAAAAAAAAAAAGGAAAAAAGAAAACCAGGGCTCATTGGTTGAATAAACCAAAGGTCCTGCACAAACAGGAGGTAGAGTTGAATCTAAACATTCTACCCCAGTGTCTGGTGTTACTTCTATCACATACCCCAAAAACAGCCACTGAAGAGTTTTTCAAGTCAGTGGCAAGAACTCTCAAGTCTCTCAGCTATAGAACTCTCATCACATTGACACTCACGCAGGTAGCCGATATTTACCAACAAGAAGCTGGGCTGCTGCAGGTGAGGAAACGCCATCACAACCTCCCGTGGAGAGTCTAAAACGGTCGTCTTAGGAAACCACTGTGAAAAAACAAAGACAAGAATTCAACATCTGCCTCACAACAAATACTGTATTGTCTCACAATGCCCACAAGAATGCTTATAGAAAGCAACACGTAGCATTGTCAAGTCTCATGTTTTGCAAAAATGCTATTTTTGTGCAGTTCAGCAGCCAGTTTCACAGCTAAGTATCGGGTGGTTTAACACTTGGTAACTCTTGTATGTGCCCAGCTCAGTCCTATGAGCTTTCCCTATATGTCCTCATTAAATCCTTGTGGTAGGGGTAGCTGTCCTGTCCACTTGCAACTATGCAGGTGCCTCTCTTTTTCTCCTTTTCTTTTTAATAAACCTGTCATTTTAAAATGTTAAAAAAAAAAATCTGTGCTAGGCAGAGTTCTAAAGAGAGCCCTCCCTGATTCCTTCCTATTCCAACATTCATCGTGCTACTGTTCTGAAGGTAGCGTGCAGGTGCAACTATCATCTCAAGTTGGTGGACCATAAATACAGAGGGGTGCCGGCTGACAGGTAGCAAAGGAATGGGGACTTAGTCCAACAACTCCAAGGAACTGCATTCTGCCAGCAACCTGAATATGCTTAGAAGCAGATTCTTCCTGAATGTCTTCAGATAAAAACAAAACTGGTGAAGACCTTGATTTCAGTCTTGTGACAGCCTAACCAGAGAACCAAGCTGAACCTGTACTTCTCACTATATGAGATAGGAAATGGGTGTAATTTGAAGCTGTATATTAGGCAAGATAGAAAATACATCCTCACAATAACACTACAAGATCACTAAGATGAAGAAAAGGGATACTGAGTGGGAGTATCCTCCTTGCCCTCATCTTCTCACAGACAGACAGGTGGACAAGTCCCCTCTGCATTACCTGTGTTCTATGAGAATGAATGATTGGAGGGGAAGAAAGAGTTTCTACCAAAGAGGCCTTTGGACAGAAAATCAGGAGTTCTCCAGATGCCTACTTCTCTGCCCACGCAGGGCAGAAGCTGAAAATAACCACGGTAGAACTGAGCAGAGAGGAAGCACACGAAATCCCACTCCTGGGCTGGGCTGTTACTTGATGCCTTACCTGGGGAAACTCTGCCCCAAGTTCCCAGGAAGAGCACTGGCAGTCTACGTGGGTGGAGAGAAGCTGGATGCAAGGAGGCTGTGTAGACCGTTGCGGGGTTGAGAAGAGACACCCATCTTTGCCATTCGACACTACAAAGATTTCCCTGGTTTTTTCAATTCTTAAGTAAATATTATCAATTTCAGCTTTAAGAAAGACTTAAAAAGCCTCATTCCTGCAACAAATGGTCTAGAGAACATTATACAAGACTCCAAAATTATCAAAGCAACAAAAAGCTCTGGACTATTGCAAGGGACAGAATTTTAGAGATAAGGTGCAAACACCTCCTTGTTCAGACAATGCTTGCACAGGCAGCTACTGAAGGAATGAGGCCAGCAGCGCCTCATTCCTCACGAAAAACTCAGGCAATTTTCCAAGGGAGAGCAGTGTCTCCCACATGCTGTTATCTGACTCTGCCACGGCAACAGCCTGAATCACACCCTGCTGCCCTGTGCACCAAGCCAACTCTTCATCCCTCCATTCAACACCCACTTTCTTCAGTGCCGCTTCGGACCGTGTCTGCGGGTAATTTCTGAGAAAAGCAAATCACGCTACTGCCAAGGCCTCCCTCTAAGAAGCAGTTGCTGTTAACTGCTCACAGTTACCCTGTGAAGTGAGCACCGGGATCGCTGTATTACAGATGAGGAAGATGAGACTCGGAAAAATCGAGACACACCCATATTCAGTCCCGACTTTTCCTCCCACACTGGTTGAACCCAAAGTTCAACTTTAACGGGAAGCCCTTCCTTCTCCAACTCGTTCAACGTACGTTGGCCGAGCTCCCCTCGGGACCAGGTGTGCCAGGCGCGCGGGAAGGTAGAATGAATGCACAGCAGGGGAAGGTGGCATGAGAGAGACGCCAAGGCCCGGCGGAAGAACAGAGACAGCCGCCCTGGAGGTTCGGGGAGGCAGCCGGGACGCGGGATCGTCCTACGCGCGGCTCCCGCCACTCACCCATCGCACCGCTCTCCGAAGAGATGGAAGCCGCCATTCGGCTACCCGGCGCCGAAATGTCGTCATCAAGCTGCGCGAAAGCGTCACGTCTCCTGGCCTGGAGGGAAACACGCTGCTAGCTCTTCCGGCGCTGCCTCAAAGCGTGCGCCCGGGGAAGACACTGGCCGCGTAGACGGCGTCCACCTCCGAGCGCGCGTGCGCGTAAACGCACGCCCTGATGCCAGCGGCAAGAGCGCGCATGCGCGTGAAAGAGGTCGTTGATTAGGCCCTCGGAGCGCGCCCTCTAATGGGGGTGGGGGACCCGGCGCTGAGCAGTTACTGTATTAACTGCTCTTCGTCTCGTACGCATTCATCGCGCACCCACCATACACTGGCCACTGCGCTGGATGCTGCTCCCTGAGCGAGGACGACCAGTGCAGACTGGCAGGGAAGCCCTGACGGCCGGGGGTGAGAGTCTCGGTGGGCGCGGCCTCCCCACGCCTGACCCCGCCCAGCCCACACAACTATTTGAGGCTCGAATGACGGACGGGAGAGTTGCCGGTCCCTGCCCTCCGTGACAGGGCTGCGCCGGGGGCCGGGCGGCGCGCTGCAGCGAGAGGAAGGCGGTCCCGGCCAGTAGAGGGTGCTGCGGGGGGCGGGGCTGGGCGCGAGCCCAGCGGGGTGTGCACCTCCCGCGGGCCGCGCAGATGGCGGCGGTGGGCGCCGGGCCGGGGCCGGGGCCGGGGCTGGGGCCCGGTGGGACCCCGGGGCTGGAGGCGGCCTTGCAGAAGCTCGCGCTGCGGCGGAAGAAGGTGCTGAGCGCCGAGGAGATGGAGCTGTACGAACTGGCGCAGGCGGCGGGCGGCGCCATGGACCCCGACGTGTTCAAGTGAGTGGGCGTGGGTGGAGGCTACTGGCTCCTCGTACCCCCGACGCCACCGCCTTCCCACTCCCCCACCCCTGTTGAGCTTTCCTGGGAGCCCAGGGGAGGGTGGAGGAAGGTGGGGCTCCTGGGCCCAGCCCCAGCCTGTACCCACGCCTGGTCTCGGGCAAGAAGGGGTCACTGCTCCCCTCGTCTGTTTTCGCCAGGATCTTGGTGGACCTGCTGAAGCTGAACGTGGCGCCCCTTGCCGTCTTTCAGATGCTCAAGTCCATGTGTGCAAGCCAGAGACTGGCAAGCGAAGCCCAGGACCCTGCCGCCGTGACTCTGCCCACATCCAGTGTGCCGGAGATCAGAGGTCAGAGCTGGGCTTGGTGCTCCCTGCTCCTGTGGCCCAGGCAGCAGGGAGTGGCAGGGTTGGGGAGGTGTGGGCAGTGCCTGGCACAGCTCTGGCTTGGCCCTCAGTGACTGGAACTTTCTGTTGGTCATTTCCCAGGATCGCTGGCCCATCGAAGGGCTGGCCAGTTGGGTGCCGGTGCCCATCTTGGGCTGGGCTGCTAGGGTGGAGAGGGCAGAGCTAGATCAGAAGTACTCAGAGCAGATGCCCCAGGGTGGCAAGCTGGCCATGTCTCATCTGGAACTTTGGCTGCCCCAGCCTCATTCCAACTCTTCACTCAGGCTTTCTTTCCACAAACACTGAAAGAAGGCAACTTTGGTTCTTGTCCTGAGGGTATGTAGTCTCTAGGAAGTGCTCAGGAGCAGCCTCCTTGTGGGGTGTCCCCAGTCCTGCCCAGGAGTCTGGCGGGTTGGGCTCCCCCTCTGAGGCCTGTGGGACAGGAGTCAGCGTGGCAGCCCCTTGCTGCCCTCCACACACAGGGTTCAGATGCTTGAGGGCCAGAGCTGGGCTCAGGTGATGGTGCCCCTCACTCTCTCTGGTCATGACTGAGGGATGGGCAGGTGCCGATGATAGGGGTGTCATGGTGGAACTCCACCTGCAACCTCCCTGCCCCCACTGGCTACCAAAAAGTCTCCAAAATGCAGCAGGACCTCTTGGGCTGGCTCCCTGACCAGAAACACCCAGGATTCCCAAACAGCCTGAGAGGGAGCTTACCTTTGGGTGGAGGCCAAACCCCTGTGGGTACGTGTGCCAGGGTCCTGGGTACACGTGGCTTCTGTCCTGAGAGGCCCTGGGCACTGGCACTCAGGCCTCCTCACTGACCCACACTCTTGTCTGCTCTCTTTGTGTCTCTCTCTGACCTCCAGAGGCCTCCTTTCTCTCTGCCAAGAACTGTAGCCCCCCTGCAAGGCCTTCCTTTTCCTCGGCCCCACGGCCTGCAGCCTCTCCGGTTCTACTCTACAGCCCAGCTGCCACGCACTCGCCTCTTTCTCCAGGGCCCCCGGTTCCCTCCGGTTCTCTTGCTGCCTGTTCTCTCCTTTTGCAGGTCGTGTTTATTGGTTAATCTCTGGGGGTGGTGTACTCTCTTGTTTCCATGGAAACTGTGGCCCCAGAAAGCCAGAGCAGTTTTGAGCTGCAAGGTAGGACCGTGGGTCATCCCTGCTACGTAGCTTAGAGACTGAAAACGTGACTTCACAACTTGATTTATCAGAGGCAACTTGCAGACTTCTGGTGTGGGTCCAATTCCTTCACCTGCCCACCTCCTTCCCTCCAGAGGCTAACTTTACTGGGTAACACTTGCACTCCTGTGGAAGTCACCCCACCCCAGAGAAGGACAACAGGTCGAGGGGCAGGGAAATGTAGCATGGTGTGCAGTGGGGAGCAAGCCTTAGATATGAGAACCATCTTGGCCTCTTAGTTGCTGTCATCACTCAGTGGCCATCCTGGAGGATAAAACCAAGATTCCCCTTTCTTGCCTGGTGGCTCTGTTTGGGGAAACCTTCCAGGTGTTGCCAGGCGATAATGTGGGGGCCCATGGCCTGGAGTGTGTATGGGCCTGAGTTCCCACATCAGCGCTCTTGCCATGACTTTTACATCCCTCCCCAAACTCCTACCTTGCCGGTCTAGGTGGCACCTGGAACTCAAGCACAGGAGGGGAGCGGAGGCATAAGGGCAGGTCAGGGGTGGAGTGAGTGGATTCTGAGACTGAGCTGAGGAATCAATGGGCATGTTTCAGAGAAGCTGGGCACAGAAGCTGCTCACCCAGTCACTGGGTGACGGACAGGCTCGGTGCTGAGGGCACAGTGGGTCTACGGTGAGATGGACGTGGTCTTGGACCCATGAGGGAGAAACATGAACCAACAGTGGCAGAGATGGACGGGCACCACAGGGAACCCCATCCAGTCATGGGAGGAGTGCTCCCTGCTTGCTGAAGCAGCAGGGGTTAACCAGACTGGAGGGCAGGGCGCAGTGGCAGGGAGGCAGCTGAGGAGGAAGGCAGGAGCTGGACCTGAGTTGGTTATTGGGAGGGTAAGAGACTAGGTCATGGCTATGGCACTAGAAACACTGGCATTGAGGGGTCTGGAGGATAGAGGAGGTGGGAAGGTACAGGCATGGCATGGAACACTGGGCTCCATCTGGTCATTTTCTCCTTTAATGCTCAGGCCTTGGTCCTGCTGGACTAGGTGGCCGGTGGCCAGGGTTCCAGGGTACACAGGCCTCATGGAGGTGGCCAGTGAGAGTAGAGGGCAGCCTGGGAGAGTGGCCGATGGGAAGGGTCGGGGGAGTAGGGCAGATGAGGGGTCGTGCCAGGAATGCGCTGTGGCTGAGAGGCAGAAGCCGTCAGGTAAGACTAGGATCTCTGAGGCCGCAGCATGGACAGTAGGTCATCCTGGTTCCTGCTCCCCAACCACGTAGTGGGCCTATGTCACCAACAAGCTTACAGATCTCGGGGGTCAGAAGATCCCCAAAGCACAGAGGGGTCACGTTTATCATGGTAAGGGAGTGACTGAGGAAGAATTTAGTTGAGTGTTTTTTGTTTAAGTTTAGGGCAACTATGTTTTAAAAAGGAGTTCCTTCGGCAAGTGTAAGATGGAGTTGTTTGAAACTACAAGTCTGCAAAGCTGTGCTGTCCAGTGTGGGAGCCCCTGCTTGGCCGCAGTGGTTGGCACACAGTAGGTAGAGGTACACGCCAGATGCTGAAGAACTGGCACAAATGAGAATGTAACATCTCATCAGTGATTTTTATATCGACCACATAATATTTTGGATATCTCGGGTTGATTAAACTATATTAAATTTCCTGTGATTTTTTCTTTTTAACGTGGCAACTAGAATATTTTAAATTATACTGTGACTTGCATCCTTTTTCTCTTGGACAGTGCTGTTCTAGGGCATTCACACTAACACTCCCTGAAACACCGAGGCATGGCTGTGGGCGCGCATGCCTGGGAGAGCACCTTCCCAAGAATAGTAGGCTGAGTTAAAGGTTTAAAGAGCACATCCGTGTGTTTGTGGGTCTTTGTCATCGTGTCTGTGTTCTGGGACCATTAATTCCTTATCGTGTGCCTGGCCAGAGAAGGCATCAGTCCCATATAACTGGAGAGCAGACTTTCCTGTGATCTCACCAGCAGCAGCCATGAACTGCCCTGGCCGCCGGCCAGTTTTCAAGCTACTGGGGGTGACCTGCTGTGTTGGCAGCTCCTGGCTTCAGTGTGCTCCAGAGCAGGACTGTAGTTTTTTTCTCACAGGCAATTCTTGCCTGTCCTCCCTGCCCCAGTGTATTCAGTGCACAGTGCACACAGCCAATGACCCCATAGACCATCTTACCACGAGGGGGTGCTCTACCATGGAGCTTTTCGGGACTGGCAGGAAGGGAGGGGAAGCAGCTTGTCCTCAGCTTGTCCTTTTAAACCTTCCATCCCCACGAACTCTGCCACAGAGCTTTCAGGGATGGCGAGTTGGGATCAGGAGGGCCACCGCAACGGTAAATGGCAACCAGCTGTGAGATCTCTCCAGCTTCAGGACTCCCCAAGTCACTGGTGACTGACAAGCGGGTGCATTTTGGGGTTTTGCGTCATTAAGTAAGGGTCACAAATTTCTGAGTGGTTACAAGGATAAGCACCAATTTGTGAAAACAGCAGGACTGTTTTTCACCTTCAGTTACTGTCTGTCTAGGCCTAGGAGCATCTAGTTCGTTACCCGCATCCCATCCCTACTTCAGCTTACAGTCACCATGGCTCAGCCCCAGCCTCCATTCCATCTGACCCTAAGAAACCAGCTGCAGGGGAGCTGAGCAAACATCTCCCAGGGACCAGTCCAAAAAGCCCTGGCTGGGGCCCCCCAGGGAGGGCATGACTGAGCCAGGAAACAAAGCGGGGATCTCCACATGGAAAACGTGATTCCTGAAGACTAAGAACTGCAGAGCTGGCGAAGTGGTCTGCTTTCATTGTTAGATGGCTTACTTAACACCTTGACTCTAAGTTACTTGGGTTTATTTCCAGGGTTTATCACCTTCATCAGATTTTAAAATGAACAGTTTGCTCTTTTCTACTTTGCTCTCATCCTTGTTCCCAGAACAATCTCGGTCATTATCCTAAGGAGAGAGGAAATTCAGGTGTGTAGCAGGGCAAAGAAAAGCTGGCTTCAAACATAGGCCTCATCAGAGACCTACCCTGCCATGTGCTGAGGCTGAGCTGGACCTGAGCTGTACTCCTGAGTCCAAAAACTGTTTCTGGCCTCACCAAAAGTTTATGGGCTGTTGAGGCACCTGGGGTCAGGCTAGTTGCTACCGAAGAGCTAAATCTGTCGCAGCCTGGGGAAGGCTGTGATTTCCGGGGAAACTAGCATTTTGTGGGTGATCCTGCAGGGTGGCACGGGCGATGAATGCATAGATGACCCGTGCCCACTGACCAGTCACTGGGGACCAGAATATTGTCATTTTACCAACGGCCGTGTTTGGTGCCAATTCTCTTTCCCATGGGTCACTTGGCCCACCTTCTTCCGGCCACCCCACCAGCCTCAGCTCTGGGGAACCCCCTTTTTGTTGAAACAAGTGTGTATGAACACTCGAATGTGAATCCCAGGGACACAGGCATATCTGAGCTGTCAGCTGTAGATACATCACCACTTCCTACCCACAGGCAGCAAAGACCCTTGCCTAGAAATTCTCTCAAGGGCCAATTCCTGCAGGAATCTGGGGGGAATTTAGTTTCAGTATTAAAGAACATGGAAAATGAGTCTGACCTAAAGGAGCCAGGGTCTACAGCATCACACATACAGGTTCCTCCGATTGTTTGAGATACAGATGGGAAAACACAAATGTCTTCTAAGTCCCTCAGAAACTTCACTGCCTCATCTCCAAGAACTCAATTTCCTACTGCCAACTATTTGCCTAACTGTTGTGGAGCTGGGGTTCATGCTGAGGACGCATACCCACAGAGCATGCCATAGGAAGGGACTGTGACCAAATGGGCCAGCCTGTCCCCAGTAAGGTCCTCTCGGTCTTACTGATGCTGGGAAGCATCATCCGGAGACTCAGGAACCACTTCTGTGTTTGGTTTTGTGTGTGTGTGGGGGGGGGGCAATATCCCGTAATTTCTGTCAGCCCCTTGGAATGGGTCCCTCTATACCTAAGCAGACATGCTCTATGGACCAGCCTACTTAAGAAACCAAATCCTGTCCTGCCTCTGGAGTAAGAGCCACTCCTTTAAAATAGAGCTCTGGCCCAGGTGTGGTTACAGGTCTTCACAAAAAGAGTAAAATAAATGACGAAGGAATAGCTGAACCAATGGTCCCCATCTAAGTGTGATTAGCCACTGTGTCAGGCCAAGGCCATAGCAGCCCTGGCAGGAACCCCATTACAGGATCTGGGTACATACTTGAGACCAGAGGCTTGACAGGATACTATGAAGAAGGCAGGGAAACATGTGAAATCTTCCAAGATCCAAATCCCCAAACCCAACTCCACTCTTGATGCTTCCTGCATCATTTTCTCATCAGCTGGCAATCAGAGGGAAGAGCTGGGGGCAGAGGGGAGAAATGCAGCCCTCTGGCACTGCCTGCCAAGGGACCCACCACATCCAAGCTGAGCTTCCTTCCCCATTCTTCCTTGCCCTGCTCTGCCCTGCATTCTGCCATCGCCTTCTCTAGGATGTGCTACCGCAGGCAGTCCTGGGCCGCAGGACACTTAAAGGAACTCTGGCCACAGGGACTGTGACGGGGAGGTCTACAAGTTGATATTGCTAAGGAACACAAATAGAGTAGGGCTGTTGTGATCGTGGCCTTTGCCTTGTCCCTAATGATCGTGTTCTGTGTCTGCTCAGGGAGAAACAAAGGCAGCACTGCCCTTAGTGGAGGCCCAGCACTGGCAGAACGCAGCAGCAGGGAAGGATCCAGCCAAAGGATGCCCCGACAACCCAGTGCAACTCGGCTGCCCAAGGGGTGTGGGCCAGGGAAGAGCCCACCTCAGAGCAGTACCTGAGACAGACTCCTCACGCCACCTTCTAGTGGAGGCTACATGTTTCCTTCGATTGGTAATAAACGTTTGTGAAAAACTGAGTGTCCAGTTGAAGATGGTTTCTCTTACCTTTTGAATATATGAAGGCAGAAAGATTGAGGATTTGTTGTGTGTGCTGGTGCTTGTTATGCTACAGTTGAACTAACCTAGTGACTTCCTTTTTTGGACCTCATTTTCTGGACTTCGGAAAAAAATATATGTATTTCTAGCTCTTCTATAAACAAACAATTAACACAGTTTACCTAAAGTAAAGGGTTAAACACTTGCTGAGCCCATTCCCACGGTGCTCAGTGCCATGGGGGCAGGGGTTTTAGCAGAGAGAGGAGAATGCCTTCAAGTTTACATGGACAGTGAGTTCAGAGAGGAGTTGTGTCAAACTTCTGTAGGTCATAAATGTCATGCAGAAATCTAAATAAACACTTCTCTCAAAGAAATATCCTTATACATTTGACCTACAGCTTTGGGCATTTTGGTGACAACCCCCTCCCATGGACCTCAGGCTTGAAAGATGGCCAACTTAAAACTTTCTTTTCCTAGACTTGAGTAGACCTTCTACTTGGAGACCTTGAGTTGAAAATTCGATCTCCCCTGGGGCACATTAGCGGAGATGCACAGTGGCGCCTCACACACACAAAGGTGCACCCCCTCCCACAGCACAGCACTCGGCAGCCAACTGGCCTCCACACGCCCCGGACTGGCATGGGGTCACGTCTACTCCTGTGAACAGTTGTCCTAGCCAATTACAGCAACAGGGTGAGGAAACGTTAATGGTGAACAATTTGAAAGCACCCATGCCAAGGGGTGGGAAGAGAGTGGAAGAAGAGGAACACCTGCCAGCCACATTCTTCCATTCAGTATTCTTCCCATTCTTGGGCCTCTGCTTCCATAGAATCCACGCCCACCTCTTTGTAATCTTTCTCCAGAGCTGCCAGGTCCTCCCGGGCCTCGGAAAACTCCCCTTCCTCCAAGGCTTCTCCCATGAACCAGTGCACAAAGGCTCGCTTGGCATACATGAGATCAAACTTGTGGTCCAGGCCAGCTGTAGGGGCACGAAGGCCACAGTGCAGGTTTTCTAGAATTCAAGCAGACTGGGTAAAGGAGGAGTCCTGGAGCCCTCTGGTTTTCTCAAGCTTTTATTGATGTTTACATGTATTGCAGCAACCAGGTACACGGCAGGCAGGGGGGCCAAGGGGCCAAAAGGCCAGCAGGCAAGTCTTCACTCTGGGACTCTCTCTCTCTCTCTCCTAGCTTTCTTTCTCCCCTTCTCTTTCCTGCTTCTTTCTTGCCTCTACTTCTCTTCGGGACTATCTCAATACTCCCACCATGGCCCACAAAAGTAAACAAGATAGTTTGCAACAATGTAAATGCAGATGCCCCATCAGGCAGGGCAATCCTAATGGTGAAAGGACAGAAAAGCCTGAAAACCATTTACCCTACCAGCCCAGGCCTCAGCAATGGAAGCGGTGTTGTTCAGCATGCACACAGCCCACGGCACCTTGGCCAGGTCTCCCCCAGGGACGACAGTGGGGTGCTGGTAGTTCATGCCCACCTGCCAGAGAAAAGAACATAAGAGTGAAGTTTATGCTGTAGGCTCAGAAGTGGTGGCTTATTTTAAAAACAAGCTGTGGACCAAGATTAAATGATGCCCTTAGAAACTGGTATTAATTTTTGGTAGTAGCTATTTTTGGTAGTAGCTATTAATTTTTGGTAGTAGCTGTTTTCACTTTTTGAACTAATGCAATTAAGAGCACAAAGCACAAAGATTTTTATATATTTAGGTTAAAACACTGTAATGGCAAAACTGGAAACAAATATCCATCATTGGGAGCTAGTTAAATTAGACACCCACACAATGAAACACTACATTGTGTGATCATGCAAAAGAACAGGAAATCTATTCTAGTTTATGTTCAAAGGATATTGTATTCTTTAAAAGAAAAGCTAGCTGAATTATATGTGAAGATTTATATTTAAAAACATCTGTAGAGTAGCAGAGAGAGCCTTAGGGAGACAAACACACACCTGAGAGTGCACTGAGTCTCTTGCTCTCTTTCCTTTGGAGTAGATACCCATTAGCAAGAGTCAGGCACAGAGGCAGCCCCCAGAAGAGTTGGGAGGGGCAGAAAGAAGGAGAGGGGTTTCTCACCCTGCCCTCCCACAGCTCTAAAGCCAGGCCAGCTGGCTTCTCCCATTGGGAGTGCTGCCAGCTCCCTCTTCTCTTTGGCCACCTGTGCACACTGATTGCAGTCTGTCACCTTCATGAAAGGCGTGTGCATCCTTTGCTCATCTTGCTGGCCTCTTTCTGTCAATATCATCCATAAAACAAGCAGCACAATATACCATGAATATGTACAGAGTATCTCTTTAAGCACAAACACCCCGGGGAAGGGGAAGAGGCTTTTAGTTTTCCAGTCTTTTACTTTCAATGCTATCCCCGAGCAAAGAGATGGGGATAGTCACACTAGGAGAAGTGAAAATTCAACATGGTCCTCCAGGCTGGACTGTCTGCTGTGGGGACAGTAGAAACGGCAATTTCACTGTCTCCAACAGAGCGGCCTCCCTGCTGGCTCAGAAGCACAAGAGACTCAGGAGAGGAGACCTGGACACAAGGCACAGCACCTCTCACAGTACCTCCCAGAGGCTGCTTGGATGTCTTAACTTTCCAGAGGTCACTGTGACTGAGTGAATGGAAGAAAATTTCCTCTGCTCAAATCAAGAGCATGATAACTAGACATATGGAATGAAGGTTTCAATTCCAACCAATAACATAAGATTTAATGAATGTTCACAAATCTGGTGAAATCTGTTATTTAGACTTTTCTGAGTCACTTTAGTTGTCAATCTGATATATCAAGGTGTCATAAAATATCAGTATGTCCCATGGATATTACAAAGTGGTTGTAAGCAACAGGACACATACAGCATTTTGAAGAATAAGGCACTTAGCAAATTAATTAGTAAGGTTATTCCCCCTGTACTGAGCTGACATGGAAAAACAGGTATTCTCCACAAAGGGGAAGCCTTCGCAGGGTCTGCTGCTTGCCAACAGGGAAAACCCCCCAATGTCACCCAGTCCCACCTTAAACCCAGTCAGGCACCAATCCACAAATTGGATGGTACACTTGGTCTTGATGGTGGCGATGGCTGCATTGACATCTTTGGGAACCACGTCACCCCTGTACAACATGGAGCAGGCCATGTACTTGCTGTGGTGAGGGTCACATTTGACCATCTGGTTGGCCGGCTCAAAGCAGGCATTGGTGATCTCAGTCACAGACAGCTGTTCATGATAGGCCCTCTCTGCAGAGATGACTGGGGCATAGGTGGCCAGGTGAAAGTGGATGTGAGGGTATAGGACCAGGTTGGTCTGGAATTCCGTCAAGTCAACGTTCAAGGCCCCATCGAAGTGCAGGGAAGCTGTCATGGAGGACACCATCTACCCGATCAGATGATTGACCTTGGTGAAGGCAGGCCGTTCGATATCCAGGTTGCGCCGACATATGTCATGGGTGGCTTCATTGTCCACCATTAAGGCACAGTTGGAATGTTCCAGGGTCGCTGGGTGGTCAGGATGGAGTTGTAGGGCTCCACCACAGCCGTGGACACCTGGGGGGCTGGGTAAATGGCAAATTCCAGCTTGGACTTCTTGCCATAGTCCACCGACAGCCGCTCCATGAGCAGAGACACAAATCCGGAGCCGGTGCCGCCACCAAAGTTGTGGACAATGAGAAAACCCTGCACCCCCGTGCACAGGTCCACCTGAGAGCAAACAAGAGACCAGGGTCAACGCCTGCAGCAGCCACACCACCACCCCCAACAATCCTTGGCATGTGTCTATGTACTGAAATCATCCACGGCGAACGGGCATCATGCTCAGAGGCAAAACTAAGCAGACACTAAACAACTGTGCACACATTGTGGTCACACCACAGCGTCAGCCTGTGGACTCACCATTCCAGCCTGAATTTATCCAGAATGACCTGTCCTGCTCTTCAGTCCAGGACAACGTCCCCGGGAAGCCTTCCCCACGTTCTCACCAAGATCTGGTCCAGGACCAGGTCGGCAATCTCCTTGCCGATGGTGTAATGGCCTCTGGCGTAATTATTGGCTGCATCTTCCTTCCCGGTGATCAGCTGCTCGGGGTGGAAGAGCTGCCTGTAGGTCCCTGTGCGCACTTCATCTGCAGAGAGGACACATGTGCTGCCATCTTTGAGGCCCACGGTGAGCCCATCAGGGCAGAGGTTCGCAAGCACGTCTCTTCTACTAGGCATGTGTTGTTCTGTCAGCTCAGGGTACAAATGCCAGCTCCACCAGTTCCCAAGAAGGGAAACAGCTCTCACACCCCCAGACCCCTTATATACTACACAGCCACCAGGTCAGCAGCATGACTTCTGCCAGTCAGTCCCATTTGTCACCCTAAAGCCTGGGAGACAAAGGCCACATAGGGTGCCCTTTCTGTCACTTCCCAAGGGGCCACTGAAAGGACTTGCTCGCTCTCTCTCTGCAGCTCTCCTTGGCCTTCTAATCTACTACTGGCCTTCTAACCTGGAAGAACACTATGAATGGTCTCCACGTAACTTTCTATGTCTCATACACGGGTCAAGACTCTTGTGCACCAGCAGGACAGAGAGCACGGCATTAAGCAGGGACCAGCGAGCGCCCACGTTCCCCGCAGGCAGAGTCTACATCCCCACCTGACCAGGGCTGAGGCAGCCACCAATTGGTCCCTCATCAGCCATCCTGCTGCTGACAAAGCAGCCTTTTGCTCTACTTGAGGATTTTCTAAATCAGGAGCCAGCGCCCCACATTCACTCAAGGAAACTTTTCCATTTCTCACCTAACATGGCTGAGGGCGTTCGCTTGTATGTCCTAGCCTTTCTGCAGAGGGATTGAAAGGAGCAGAGGAGGGGCTTTAGTGGGGTTCTCCCACCTTCTCAAGAAAGCTGTCTAAGTGTCTGAGTACCTACCAACCACGGTGGGCTCCAGGTCCACAAACACTGCTCTGGGCACGTGCTTGCCAGCTCCCGTCTCGCTGAAGAACGTGTTGAATGAGTCATCCCCACCACCG